TAACTTTGGACGTTGTTAGAGGGTGGAGGGATGTCTAAGAGGACATCAGAAGTCAGTCAAAGTTGATGATAACAAGCGAACATCCAAGAGCAAAACCCAGACGACGGAAGAAGAAACCGAGTTGGTTAGATACTCCTTCTTCGAACTTTAAGTTCACCTTAGCCATACTGGTGTTTTCGTCCTTTAAAACATTCAGGTCTTCTGCCTCAGTCTCTGTCAGGGGTTCAGTAGCCTTACACACTGAAAAGCTTGCGAACCACAGCACCAGGTTGCCATTAGCTGACCTTCGCTTGAGGATGGTCATTCGCATCTACCTTATCTTCGTTTAAGGATGCGCCAGTAGGCATGGAAGCGACCGAAAGTCGAGCACACCAGCACGACCAGGTTCCTACGTAGAATCAACGCCGCTCTCGGATGTTTTCCTCTCCAGAACGGGACTCGATCCTGGTATGGCGGATGTGTAGCGATTTGAGTATACTCACTGTTAAGACCCCTGCAAATCAAAGTTTCTGTCTCAAGCAGATGTCCCGGCAAGCAGCAGACGTCCTGGCCATACCACCATTTGCCGTACTCTCAAATCCAACATTGGTGACCCTGACGTGATCTGAAGGAAGGACAATCTTCTTCCCGATCTACGATATAGGTGTTAACCATGGATAGCTTTCCATCAGAAGTTCAGTGAATTTTGGCACATGCTTCTGACTATTTCACTGCCACAGATGAGTCTGCTGTCTAAGCCAGTTCACCTCCCTCGCAAACAAGCATAAACTGTCAGTGCTATGCTCACAGCGTGGCGGACAAATACTTTGCGACATAATCGATAATTCGGCTGTATCAGGCAGTGAGGCCAACCGCTTGCTCGACGGGGTGGGCAGAGGATCTCGGCAAGCAACACACCTCTGCAATCTGTCCTAGTTACTAGTCCGGTCATCGAAAGCAGAGAACGCCACCACCATCAAAAGAGTGCGACTCACACCTGATATAAATTGGCGTAGTGAAAACTGTCATAGCATCTACCTCAAAATGGTTTCGCGCGTCACAGTGTTTCATTAGCGGGTTTGTTAACCTCTAAATATTTGCCAATACAAACGAACATACGAGTCCCAGGAAGTAATTGAGAAGAAGACAACTCCATCGCTGGGACAGTACTTTTACTTGCCTGACGTTTCGACATCCGTCGCGGATTCATTATCAGAGACATTAGCATAAAACGGCAGCAGAAACGGGTAACATATGCACAGGAGTTTGCATTTCGTCATCGTCGTCGTTATCGAACGGGATCAGGTGCTCACGTTCAAGGAACGTCTCAACAG